TTCATGGGAAGTGATTCACAAATGAAATGAATAATAATATTACCATTAACAAACATTTTATAAGTCTTTGAGCTTATCTGTCTGTGTCTGCAAAAGGCAATGTGCAACACTGAAGAAACTGGTAGAAAAATAAATGTATAAATACATGTTCAGCTGCTGCAATTTCTCATACATGCTTTGATGCATATGCTGTGTTCCCTCAAGGGTTTCCCCCATTCATCTTAATGGAGGAAATAGATTTAGACACACTTTTCCTTTTCACACACAAATATGTCTCCCCATTGACTATAAAGAACCCTAAATTCTGGGTCTGGGCAACATTTTGTAGAATAAGCAAAATAAATAAAATGAATATTTTCAGAAGCTACCCAGAAGTGGTAGCCAAAGTAATAAACTGAATAATAGGGCTATGCAAAATCCTTGACAAGGCGCAAATCAATACAAATTGACCAGCATTGGAGGTATTTGGTGTGCTTCAGAATCCAAAGTGGTCCACACATACCTGACCTGTCCTGAATATTCAGAACTACCTGCGAAGTCTGAAAGAGGTTTTTAAAAAAGGAATAAACATTTTCTGTCCAATTTAGTGCATTTTTGTACCTGTCTCCATATATGGAAAACATCAAGGAGAGAGGAGGGAAAGGATGTCATTTCAGCTGTGGTTCATATTTTATTTTCAAACAGTGGTGAAGAACTTGCAGCCTCATAGATGCTGCAGACTCATTGATGTTCTCCAGATCAGCTCTCTGGGACTCACTTTTCCTACAGCTGTGTGTTTGAGGGAGATCAGCTGCTACATAGCAAGCTCAGGGGAATAATAATAAAATGAGCCAAAGGGTGGGGCTGGGGTCTAGAGAGAGAGCATGAAGGTGGAAATGAACATGACTGGAGCTGCAATGGGGAGAGAAGGTGCAAGCAATTGGTTCCTATTTGTGTTATTTGAAGGGTACATATGGGAGAAAGCCAAAACAAATGGAGAAATGGAAGAGGAAAGTGCACACATGTATAAATACATGTTCAGCTGCTGCAATTCTCATACATGCTTTGATGCATATGCTGTGTTCCCTCAAGGGTTTCCCCCATTCATCTTAATGGAGGAAATAGATTTAGACACACTTTTCCTTTTCACACACAAATATGTCTCCCCATTGACTATAAAGAACCCTAAATTCTGGGTCTGGGCAACATTTTGTAGAATAAGCAAAATAAATAAAATGAATATTTTCAGAAGCTACCCAGAAGTGGTAGCCAAATTAATAAACTGAATAATAGGGCTATGCAAAATCCTTGACAAGGCGCAAATCAATACAAATTTTGAAACCGATTCTTCTTGCTTCCAATCAAAGAATGCCTTTACCAAGGCTCTCCTTTTCTTGCTGCCAATCACTGTTTTGTGGGAGGAGATAAGGGACTGTATCAAAGCTGCTCTTTGCTCTTTGTCTGGCAGAAGCAATGGCAGCACTCTCAGCAGCTCTGTGGCTCCAAGAGGTGCTCTACCTGCTACTCAGCATGCATGGACGAGTTTTTGCCTCCCACTACAATGTTGTTCTGAGTAAGTGCAACATTCTATTCATGCTCCACAGGATTAAATGGGAGCCCTTGGAGAGTGTGCTCATAGGCAGAGGCTAAATCATTTCCTGCCCTGGTGACATCAGCCATCAAGAAGAATATCTTCTACAAGTACACCCCATCCTAGGTTCTTTTTCCTGGTCATACTAGAGTATCATGGAATAATGCAAACTATTTTTTTAAATAATACATATGCTAACTATAGAACAGATTTGTAGACAGTTTTGCAATTCTAGTGGATCTAGGCAAATCTCTGTTGATCTAAACCAAGAATTCTCTCATAATTTGAACATGGAATTAGGTATCTAGAGATGTATGCAATACTATTTGATGGACTGCTGCTTTTTGGGAGGTGTGTGTCCTAGTGTGAAAGCTTAGCATCATTCAATATCTATACTGAAGCCAACCTCCACTGGACTTTGCCCTGCAAAAAAAGACAGAAAGAGCTGTGCTTTTATTACTCACCTTGGCAGATTTACTATTTAACTGACGTAACTGCAATTGGGATAATACATTTGTGTCTATTTTAGGATGGGTGACATAATATGCATGTAATTCCTGCTGATGCTGGAACAGCTTTTTTAACTAGAATAACTCTGGAAGAGAATAATTCATAGGATCATAGAATGGTAGAGTTGGAAGGGATCCCACTGGTCTTCTAGTTCAACCCCCTGCAATGCAGAAATCTCAACAGGTGGTTCCCCATCCAATTCGACACCATATCGGACCTTGCTTACCTTTGCAAATGCGCTAGCGGTTTTATTGCTGCACCACTAGGAATATGGCTTGAAGCTGCAGCTACGCACCAAAAGCTCTAGTGAAATATATACATATCACACTTATATACTCCTATTCCTATATGATTTTTAGGCAGCCTGATTAAAAATCAATAAGGCAATGTACTTTAATTCAATTTGCTTTGCGTCCATGTAAATGGAACTTTCTGACATTATAAAGTCCTAAGATGAAATGTACACCAAGAGGAAACAAGATATTTCATCCCTGAGTTTCTTTGGAATAAGGCTTGAGGGAAAAAATGTGACAACTGTATGAAACAATTGAATAATATTCTTGTCAATCTAGTTTCTATCCTATCTAGGTTGGTGGGAAGAAGTGCGTTCTGTGCTACAACCATGAACTTTGTTGAAATTCAATGTGAAGAATTATTTAGACAGCAGTTCTGTAGTCCTTGTGGGGCGGGGGGGGGGGGACATCCTGGGGGCCATAGGGCAGGACCAGATCTACCCCTCGAGAGCTCTGTCTCTGCTGTTACTGAAGCCTCCTTTTCTGATGCATCCAGTTTCTCCAATGCCCTGACCCAATGGATGTAAAAACTCCAGTGCTGCCAGGGCCAAAAGCAGGTTGTGAGGGGTGTTCCGTGAAGTTGCTTGGATCTGAAGGCTCCAGAATAATGTATGAAGCAACCCACTGCTGACTGCAATCCCATTCTCTTTGTGAGAGATCAGAAGTCACTTGTTTCCCTGTCCGATATCTCAAATCGAAAAGAACTGAATATAGCAGAGCTTACAAACACTTCTGTCCTGAGGAGACAATACTGTACTGGGTGAGCTTTAAATTGATTGATTTATGGGTAATAGATAATGCCAAAAATGAAGATTAATCACCCATAATTAACTACTGTTTCTGTTCCATCTTTATTTACCCAGTGACAGTATAATCCTATTCACAAAAGTCCCACTGTATTCAGTGACAGAGCCGGCCCTAACATTAGACAAAGCGAGACAATCCACTGAGGCAGCAGTTGCTGGAAGGAGCAGCATCAGCATCCAGCTGTTGCTCCTGAACCTCCTAGGCCTTCCCACTGTTGCCACATGACCTCTCCTGGACCCCTCAACTGGCCTACTGTTTCAGCTGCAATGTGGGGTGCTATCCTGGCACTAGTGCTGAAGTAAGATTCATTTGCCAGTCCAGATGGCTTCTAGTTGTGGAATGGGGAAGGGGTGTAATCTTGTCCACCTCAGGCGGAAAATGTCTTGGGCAAGCCCTGTTCAGTGAAGCTTACTCCCTCGTAAATGTCTTTAGGATTGCCTCTGATTTCTAAACCTTAATGTCATGGGCACATTTCTTTCAAAACATTTGACATGCATTTAGGAAGCACAAATCTGGAAAGAATTGTGTTACCATGCACAATCTTTCTAGTTGTATATTCCACCTCTCATTCAAGCTGGAGCGTTGAAAAGGTTTGCAACAGAAAAATATTGCACAAGATAAAAAGGTAAAGGTAAAGGACCTCTGGATGGTTAAGTCCAGTCACAGGCGACTATGGGGTTGCGGCGCTCATCTTGCTTTCAGGCTGAGGGAGCCACTGTTTGTCCACAGACAGCTTTCCTGGTCATGTGGCCAGCAGGACTAAACCACTTCTGGTGCAACGGGACACCATGATGGAAACCAGAGCACACAGAAATGCCATTTACTTTCCCACCGCAGCAGTACCTATTTATCTACTTGCACTGGTATGCTTTCAAACTGCTAGGTTGGAGGAGCTGGGACAGCAACAGGAGCTCTCCCCATCCCGGGGATTTGAACCACCGACCTTTTGATCGGCAAGCTCAAGAGGCTCAGTTGTTTAGACTCTAGGGGCTCCAGGTGCTTACCCAGGGTTTGGTTTTCTCAGAATGAGGGACAGCGGAAACTTTATGATATCTTTATGATATATGGCTTATTTACATTTATATACAACCTGAGCCTATGATGGAGGGGCTCAAAGTGTTAACACCCTAAGAAGGTCTTGCTTTCCCCATTGACATAGTCTTGGATTCCAGCAGAAATCAATCACGTCTCTCTTTCACAGGCTTCTGCCTGCCCTCTGCTTCTATCCTTTAGCTCTCACACACAACTCTAGCTTTTTTCCAGTTGAGGGAGGGAGGACCCATTTGTTCTTTGGCACAGAGCTACTTCCTTTTTTACCTTAATGACCCATGCTTAGGCCATTACCAGAAGCTGGCCTGGCTATTCCAACAATTGAAACCTTGCTAGATCCAGGAATTAGGAGCGACTAAGGCATACAGCCTAACTCCCCCAGCTGCAAACTCACAACAACATATATATATATGGACGCGGGTGGCGCTGTTGGTTAAACCACAGAGCCTAGAGTTTGCTGATCAGAAGGTTGGCGGTTCGAATCCCCATGATGGGGTGAGCTCCCATTGTTCAGTCCCTGCTGCTGCCAACCTAGCAGTTCGAAAGCATGTCAAAGTGCAAGTAGATGAAAAGGTACCACTCCGGCAGGAAGGTAAACGGTGTTTCCGTGCGCTGCTCTGGTTCACCACATGACCCGGAAGCTGTACGCCGGCTCCCTCGGTCAGTAAAGCAAGATGAGTGCCCCAGAGTCATCCGCATCTGAACCTTATGGTCAGGGGTCTCTTTACCCTTTACCTTTAAGGCATACAGCCTAACTCCCCCAGCTGCAAACTCACAACTACACACACACACACATACGGTGTGTGTGCATATGTGTGTGTGTGTGTGTGTGTTTTGTTGTGAGTTTATATTATATATATAATATTCAGTACTTGAACAGACCTTTACTCAAAATTCTGCATGAGATATGTAACTAATCAAGGCATGTTGACAGATGATGAACTATATCACTAATTGTGCTGCTAAGTAGCAAAACGATCTCTACTCACCTTGTAAGGTACAGTACATATCACAATGTTTGGACTGAGATGACATGCTAATAGAGGATAACTGTGATGACTAGATAAAAATTTAAAACAGCACCTTTTCCGTCAATTTCTCAGCTTGATGTTTCACATTTGCGGTGCAGATGTAATGATTTATTCCAAGAAATCCATAACCTTAAGATTTGCACATTGCCATTTTCAGTCTCATTCTCTTCACATGCTGGTTCTTCATTAGTGTATGACTTTTAAGAATTTATGTTGATTTAGATTGCTTAGGCATTGCGTGCATCTGAATTTTTAGTATCACAGTACTTCTGGCAAATTTCCCCTTTGTCCCTTTGCCATCTATTTTGCTATGTTGTTGCTTTTGAGTAGTTCAGATAATGGTTTAAAGTGAAGTACGTACATAAGAACATGAAAAGAGCCTGCTGGATTGGGCCAGTGGCCCATCTAGTCTAGTATCCTGTTCTCACAGTAACAGACTGGATGCCTATGGGTACCAACAAGTAGAAAGCAAGCAATTGTTTCTGCGTTGTTCAGCTAAAGACAGAGGTACAACCCCATGAAATTGACTATATTTATTCATTAGTGTTTTCTGATTTGTGGAGGGCACAGACTTCTTCTTCTTCTTCTTCTTCTTCTTCTTCTTCTTCTTCTTCTTCTTCTTCATTTCAGTTTGAGTCACTTCCCATAAAAGTCACAAAATAACTTAAAAAAAATTAAAATCCAATTGGAACATAGGAAATGTCTTATATGGATTCAGACCACCTAGCTTAGTCAACACAGCATTGTGAAGAAAATAAATTCCTCCATATTTGTTAATTGACATTTGGGACAATGTTGGTTTACATTCTAGAGAAAGTTAGACTCTCTGAACTCCATGAAGCTTAGATGCTTTGTAAACTCTTCTCATTTGATTCCAAAGAGATTAAGGAGAGCTGTCCTAAACAGCTTCTCTCAGAGGTCCGCAGTGGTCTGGGCCACTTCCAGCTCTTTAGGCCCCTTAGCTATAATGAAAACATTATTTTAGAACTCTTTAATATGACAGCACCCATATTAACCAAAAAAAATTAGACTTCTAAATCACATGTCCTATTTGCTCACTCGAGGTGGGGCCAGGAACAGCATGTTGTGGAGCAGAATATGGAGCTGTAGGACTATAAGCCTCCTCAAGCCCTAGAGGTCCCTCTCCACAAAAGACCCTGTATATATGCCAGCCCATAAGATGCTGTACTTCATGCCCTTAATGGGAGGGATTAGGGGATGAGGGAAACAGGTGGCCCTGTTTAGAACTGCAGGCAACCAGACTTCAAATTGGTGGTAGTATGATCAACAGTGCCTTCCTGCAGGAACTCAGGACAGTATATGGAAAGGCTGTCTTTCTCAAAGCTGAGTCCAAGCCATTCAGGGCTGTATACATTAAAGTCAGCACCTTGAATACGGCTTGGTGAAAAACAAGCAGCCAGAACCGATGCTTCAGAAGTGGTGTTATATGCTTATCGGCAAATGAAAGTCAGAACCCATTCTGCGACACTCTGTCCTGGTTGTAGTCTCTGCACTGTTTTCAAGGGCAGCCCTACACAGAGCTCATTCCAGTAGTCAAGCTGGGAGGTTACCAAAGCAAGGATTACAGTTCCTTTCTAGGAATGGCTATAGCTACTGAACCAGCTCGCGGTGAAAGTAGCCACTGGACACCCAGCAACAAATTAGAATCAAGGAGTACCCCAGACTACATACATGAGCCTTCAGGTGGAGCCTGTGCATGCTGCCTGTCTAATTCATAGACTTAGGTCTATGGGGGTGTGGAATACAGGCTGCAGCAGTTCTACCCTGGCTGGGCTTGCTGAATGTAAGTCATTATGAAACAATTGTTGTTGTTTAGTCGTTTAGTCGTGTCCGACTCTTTGTGACCCCATGGACCAGAGCACGCCAGGCACTCCTGTCTTCCACTGCCTCCCGCAGTTTGGTCAAATTCATGCTGGTAGCTTCGAGAACACTGTCCAACCATCTCGTCCTCTGTCGTCCCCTTCTCCTTGTGCCCTCAATCTTTCCCAACATCAGGGTCTTTTCCAGAGAGTCTTCTCTTCTCATGAGGTGGCCAAAGTATTGGAGCCTCAGCTTCAGGATCTGTCCTTCCAGTGAGCACTCAGGGCCGATTTCCTTAAGAATGGATAGGTGTGATCTTCTTGCAGTCCATGGGACTTTCAAGAGTCTCCTCCAGCACCATAATATGAAACAATAGACAGCAGTTATCACCTCAAGAGGAATCCCCCCAGGTCTGTGCAAAACAGAGGTCACCAAGGTGATGGGGAGGGTTGTGAGGTGACAGGAAGGAGGCTTGGGTTTACTGGTGAAGAAGAAAGCAAGCAGCTAAAGCTCCATAGGGGGAGGGGGGAAAGCTGAAGGGCATAACCATCTTGGGAGGCTGGGAAAGAGGTAGGGGAAAGGCGTTCACGATGCCGTGGACTGTGTTGCTGTGGGGAAGAATGTAATGCTGTGAACTCCCTCCCTGCCCATGGAAAACTCTAGGTGTATATATGGGCAAAATAAACCATATATCTTAAAACACCATGACTGCTGGCCAGGGCTTCTTTTTCTAGAAAAAGAGGTGCCAAAGCTGGAACTCACAAAGGAGGTTCCGGTGAGTTTTGGCTGAAAAAAAGCCCTGCCCGTGGCAGAGATTGGGGTGGCATATAACAGGATGCTAATAACATTATGTATGGCCTATACCTTTTAAGACTTAAAGGATGGAAGCAAGGATACAAGGCAAGGCTAGTCAGCTGAATTTTAAGTATAGCTTACATGTTCATTAAGAGTCTAAAATGCCAAAAATTAAAATGCCAAACTGTAACATTTCCCTGAGGAAAAAAGTGTATGATTGTATAAAACTTTCCGACTACAATGAAAGTCTAAACGAAATATAATTATTATTGTCGGTTTATCACCTCAAACATGTTGTTGTAAATGTCATTATATCAGATGAGTCTGGTAACAGTTTTCCATTTTGTACTTTATTTGACAAGGTGATTCATTGTCTAGTGCAGTTTAAGATGTCAGTCCTTCTGGAAGGAAATGAGCGGTGCTGATTCACATGTGACTATTTCTCTATCGAAATATATGATTAAGGAATGCTTATTATTTAGAAATGGGTCTTACCCAACTGGCCTGAAATATGAGTGTTTTTTCTTTATTGGACTATAATTTATCATAACAGCATCCATAGTAACTGCATACGTTTCCCATCCCCTATGGGATTCCTACTTTAGACACCCAAAGTGTCAGAGTAGAGATAATTTTAATACTGCTCCCCCATAGCATGCCAGGTAATTGGAATGATTTGTTTCTTGCTGATCACATCAGTTCTTCCAACAGCATATAAAAGTACCTAATAGCTTAGTATTTAGTAAAAGAATGGTAGTTCCTTTACACTTCAACCAAACATTTTACATTGAAGTGTGCTCTATTGATTTCACCAGAATTAACCTATGGACATTAACTTCATTTTATTTTTTAATATTTTTTTGTAATGCTCCCATCCAGAAAATCAACAATAATGTTAGCCTTTATAATGTTGGATGGGTCAGAATAAGAACTCTGGAGAAGTTTCTGGGAACTTTGCCTAGATCTTATACACCTGACCTTCCAACATTATCAAGATATGTATGTCTCATCCATATCTAGAGGAGCCCATAGTATCTTGAACTCTGAAGTACGAGAATAAACGTTTGCTTTTGAATTGAACAAATATTTGATGCCTATAATCATTATAATAATTATTCAGGGCAAGGCTGTGGCACTTTTCTCTCTATGTTCCTGCTCAGAATTGACCCTTTCTATGTGGCCTTTGTTTTATCCTCTTAATCCTCATTCCCAACTGTAACAAAGCTGTATGTATGTACATGTGACTGTGTTTGCCTTTTGCTCATTCGTTATTTCCCATTCCTCTCTCCTTTCCCTCTTTCCCTCTTTCCATTGTTTTCCACATTCTGTTTCATATTGTAAGCTCTTTAGAAGCTCCTAGAGAGCTGTTTCTGCCTGTATAGCTTTGTAAGGGTCCAGGTATGCTAAGGGTGCTGAGAGGGAGAGGGGTGGTGGGGAGGTCAGCATGGTGTGGCCACAGCAGACTCTGCACCCACACTGTGCCAACCTTCCCCACTGTCTCATCCCCCTCAGTTACCAGCAGTGACCTCCGTGTGGGTAAGCCAGTTAAGTAATGCTGCACCACTTGGTTCTGCCCCACCAGATGCTACTACAGAACAGACAATACTGATCTAAATGGAGAAATATTCCGACTTTTAACATGACAACCTCCTTGTTTCCTTATGTGGTCATTTTGTTGGTTTCCATTGCCACACATTTGGCTGCTTTCATACCTCAGCTGCTTATGTAGTTCCAGCCAAAGTCCCACCAGGCTTTCTGATCCTGTCATTCGCCGTAGCAGTGAAAACCCACAGATTAATTACATGTCATGGAAAGGATTGTGGTATCTTTGTTCATCCCTTCTAAATTCACAACTAGTCCATTTCACTGCAGTGGGGCTATGAAAAAAATGGTGAATGACAGATCATCCTTAAGTAACCTTTCATTAATTTCAATACTTTTTCATATCTGTCATGTTATGATAGGAAAAAAGGTTCAAACTTATTCCACAAAAGTGTCTCTTTGGAAGATCCCCCACATCCCCATTTTTAAACAGAAATACAGTGGTACCTTGGGTTAAGTACCTAATTTGTTCCAGAGGTCTGTTCTTAACCTGAAACTGTTCTTAACCTGAAGCACCACTTTAGCTAATGGGGGCCTCCTGCTGCCGCAGTGCCGCCAAAGCACGATTTCTGTTCTCATCCTGAAGCAAAGTTCTTAA